GGTTAACCATTCATGATGTGTGTGATGGTTAGTAGTGGGACTAGTGGGAGTGGCAGTAGAAGGGGTAGAACCGGAGGGAATTCGGGTACTTTCTTGGCTACCTTGGCTAGAACAATAGTTTTGTTGATCACCGATATAATTAGGTGGAAATTGGTATGGTGGTAGTGGAAATTGGTTTAGTGGTGGTGCTGGAAATCCCGACGTATTATATGGCTCATAGCCCGGGGGGAAGTAAATGGGGTCATTGGTTTGACTCGTAATTTGGGGGCTCGTTGTATTTGGTGGTTCCCTAGAACTACTACTACGGATAAGTCGGCCTTTCCCCCTAGACCTAGATGATGGGTTGTTCGATGCCATAATTAACAATTAATTTTTTAATAAAAAGTGGTTAACTATAATAATAATAATTAATAACAACAATTTTAACAATAAAAATATCAATAATATTAATTAATAACAACAACTATAACAATAACAATAACAACAAAAATAAATAATAACAACAATTGTAACAATAATAATAATTAATAACAACAATTATAACAACAACAATAACAATTAACAACAATAATAATTAAAAAAGATTATTCTAATAATAACAATAAAACAATAATAAATTTAAGATTAGTTTAGATCTTACAACCGTGCTTCAACGCTCCACTAATTACGATTACGAACTTTTTAATTTTTTCCGATATTAGGAAAATAATTAGAGAATTTAAGAGAATAATTAGAGAATTTAAGAAAATAAGGATTATTAGAGATTTAGAGAATATAAGAGATAAGAAGAAGAGATTGTGATTTTGTGATTTGGGAATGAAATGGAGGTGAGTATTTATGGAATTTTTGGGGATCAAATTGGCAAAAAACTAGCCGTTTTTTAGCCGATTTTTGGCTTATTAAGGAGCTAGAATAAACGGTAACATTACCGTTGGCCTACGGGCCGTGCCTGCGGGCCGGCACGACGGGCCAGCACGGCGGGCCATGGCCGTGCTCGTGCCGGGCCGTGCCTGGGAATTCTCAACCCTGTTCGTGGCACGGCCCGTGGCACGGGAGTTGAACTTCGTGCCGTGCCGTGCTTGAATTTGGGCCGTGCCAGGCGGCACGCGGGCCAACCCGGCCCGTGCCCAGGTTTAATCACTGTCATCACAACCCCCATCACCACTAGAGTCACTAACAAAATTGACTCTCCTTCTAGCATTTGGTTCACTGCTTTTCTTAACCTCATTTGGCTTAGCACTGACTCTAACCTTAGCACCAGTCCAAATGCCCTTCCTAATTTTTGTACTCTTAGGAAATTTTCAAGAAAAAAGCAAGGGGTTAGTGGTTGGATTTGGACCTCTAGTGTTTGGACTAGATGAAAAATTGTCAGTAGGTTGCTTGGTAGTAGTTTGTGCTGGTGAAAACCTAGGGCTTCTTCTAACAGCTAGTGTCTTAAAAACAGTGTGTGGTGACATGGGAGATGGGGGTAACTTCTCACCACCAGAACATATGGCTTTTGCCTTACCCTTGCCCCTTGTTATACCACCAGAAGAACCAACTACTTCCTTACCCTTACCCTTACCCTTGCCTTTTGTTGTACCACCAAAAGAACCAGCTACTTCCTTACCCTTACCCTTACCTTCACCCTTACCCTTAACCTTCTCCATGTACTTCTCAAACTCCTTCTTACCCTTACTGTAATCTTTTGTAGACTGGTTAGCACTATTCAGTTCAAACTCCTCATGTAAATTAGTGAAGGTATCATCTGGGTCATAGTTTAAAATCCTACTGTCAAGCTCTTCTAATGAGGGGTTAACAGGAGATGCAGGAGTTGTTGCTTGAGGAGTTGATTGGTATGTCAGTCTCAATCTTCTCTTAGGTTGTAGCTTGCTCCTTCCATAATTAGAAGGGTATGGAAGTGGAGTAACAGGGTTTGCATCATCAGCAGAAGGGTTTGAAGCTTGGTCAAAAGGATTGGCAACTTGGACATTAAGAGGTGGTGGTACATTTTCAGGTGGTGGTTGATTAAGAGGAGGTGGTACATTTTCAGGTGGTGGTTGATTAAGAGGAGGTGGTTCATGCAAAGCTTGGTTGGCTTGTTCATCAGCTATTTTTTTTCCCCTAAACTCAGACACTAAATCATTTATGAAAGTTTAATTTTCAGCAGTCCCAACCAAAATCTCATAAATATCAGCATCAGGGAAGGTCCTAAACATCCTAATTATCCCACCATCATCATCTATAGGCCAGTGTTTGCCTTTATAAGCATAAGCAAAAATAGGGTTCAATAAAACTATTCCCTTTTTTTGTAACCTATCTTCAAATTCTATCATCAAATCCATGAGGTTGCAAGTATCAGGATCAACTTCAATTCAATGTCAACATTATGCACCTTATACTTAAATCTCAACACAAACTTGTCACTCATTCTGCAAAATCAGATTAAACTAATTTAAACCTAGGCTCCACATGCATACACAAAAACACGCAAACATGATCATATGGAATTATATATCTAAAAAAATCCAAAATTTAGCACGCAAACATGATCATATGGAAATCGAGAATGATTCAGATTAAAATCCAACAACAATTACAAATTGTACCCATAACCAACAAATTACACAAGTATACATACATTAACTTAAACCTAAAAATTTAAACCAAAAAAATCCAAAATTCCAGCGAGAAATAAGCACTAACCTTTTAAAATCCAAAAAGTATCACTAAATCTCCAAGGATTTTGCTTCACTCCAACATCAATTAGGGTCTTACAGAAGAAGAAGAACAGGGGAGAGAGTAAAGAAGATGAACGATCAAATTTTTTTGTATTTAATGTTGTTGGTTGGGCTTGGAGGGAGGGTTAATGCGTGGGGGGGCATTTTAGTCAAGCCAAGTCAAGCCAAGTCAGATCAACACAGAGCCTCATTAACGTTTAGTTAACGGTCAAGGTCACGGTAGGTATTTAGGGAAAAGTTTAGGTGTACCGGTGATAATGAAAGTTTAATGATGTGTATCATTAATAGAAGTCAAAACCTGGAGGGTATCATTGATAATTTCCCAAGTTTTAATTATATGTGCATTAACACTTGTGTCATTAAATGAGAAGAGAATCGAGGTGAGGGACTGAGGGGTGAGTGTGATGCATGCCTACGAATTTGTCATAGATCATTCATAATTTATACGAAGGTTGTTACTAGGAGTATATAATAAGATACACGCATGTAAATAAATATGTAAATATATAGCTCAATGGTGAGTATTTCTACCATAGTTGTTGGAGATTTGTGGTTCGAATTGTCCTAATTGGGTTTTAGGAATATTATTTGATATTTGAACCCAAATAATCCCAACATTAACACTAGAGATCTAATAATTGTGTCGTTTTATATTACGGAGTACAAAATGACCTCCACCATCAAGACCATCACCCGAGCTAGAACTAGTCTATCTATCTATAATATTATTTAAATGCAAGGCATTACATGCTATATGATGACATGTGGCATTTTAATGTTAGCATGATATGGCGTTACATAAAACTTTCTCATTAAAAACTAAGGCATGGCGTGGAGGCTAATTAATAATATTGTTTAACTAACCTTCTTAATTAATTGAAAAACTTTTCATATGTGTAACCTCTCTATAATAATATTTTGGCTAATGAAAAATTCTTTATATTTATATAAGCTCCCTATATAATTTTTTTTTTGTTAACTCTTTAGTTATTGCACAGTAAAATATGTAGTACAATCTAATTAGCAAGAAATTAAGCACACCAATGGTAATTTCTTGGATATTAATATTCTAGATTCAATAAGCATCAAGCAATAATATTACATAATTAATTATTTGATTTTGTAGCGTAAAATGAATAAAATTTACCAATTATTAATCTTATTCATTTGTTTCTCTAACTCATACATCCATTAAAAGAAATTGCAGCATGCTAAAAACTTCAAATTTATAATGATGCGGGATATCACCTGAACCAACAACTAGTTTGATTATTAAATCTTATGGAATCACTCAATGGTGAATATTAATACCATGGTTGTTGGAGATTTGTGGTTAAATTGCCTTAATTAAGTTTTAGGAATAGTACTAGGTTAAAATCCCATGCAATGCACGGTCGTTAAATATTTTTTACAATAACATTACAAAATATAAAGTATATAAAAGATATTCAGAAATATTTTATCCGGGGATATATGGAATATGATTGTCAAACAGGATAAATATCAATAAGGTATATATATAGTTTACTTAAAGATTTAAAAAAAAACAAAAACAAAAAAAAAAAAAAAAAAAAAAAAAAAGAGAGAGAGAGAGAGAAGCGAAAAAGACGGAAAAAAAATTTACAAGGTAATGACAAGTATCATGGAAAGATTTGCTTGTAATATAGGTTAATAGATTCCATAGTTGAATCCATCGTAATCACAACAATTAAGACTAGAGATTTAACAACTGTAAAATGGCGTACTCCACCATCTAGACCATCACTCGAGCTAGAACTAGTTTTGGTATAAACCGCTACTTGAGTAGCGATTTCAAGGCAAAACCGCTTCCTCAAGTAGCGGTTTTACCCATTTTTATCGTAAAAATTACACTTTTATCCCCGTGATAAACAAATTGTTTCATTTTCTTTTCGGCCAATCTAATTTGTATTTCCTCTATAAATAATTCTTTCACCTTCTTTTCGGCCAATCTTATACCAAGTAACAAGTTAATATAATAATAATTAAAAAAAAAAAACTTCAAGTCGTTAATAAAGAGAAATGACTTTACAATTATTCAATTAACAAATTACTATGTCTTTTTTTGCATTTACGCGGTAACGTCATTGTACTAAAGTATAACTTTTTCTTAAAATCAACTTTTGTTTACTTTATGTAACAATTACGAAGTACTAATGACTGTATGTTACAATATTAATTCAACATTGACTTGTGTAAATTATGTTATTAAACTTTAACTTCATCAGCTCAACTTAGTAACATACATAGCTCAAGCCCTTCCCTATAAATTCCCACCATCACTCTTCTCTTCTAAACCTCTTCTTTTGCTTAGTTTCACAAATATAAACCCAACATTTCCACAAATTACACTTCCTCAACTTTTTCTTCTATAAGTTTTATAGCTTAAACAACTTTAAAACACTCATAAAAGCAGATTGCAAAAATGGTGGCACATAATTTTAAGTCGTTGCTAAGCGTTTTCGTAGTTCTCTTATTAAACATCAACCTTTGTTCGTATTTTTCTCATGCAAGTCCAGATTCCGCAAACTCAAGCTCACATGATCTAGCATCACCATTGAAGGGACTCAAACTAAATGGCTCGTTCGATTTTAGTAACACTAGCGTTGTAGCATATGACTTTGGTAACAGATTTCATTTCCTACCCTTGGCAGTTCTATTACCGAAAACAGTCTCCGACATATCTACGACAATCAAATATGTTTTCGACTTAGCCAACAACTCAGAGCTCACCGTTACTGCAAGAGGCCACGGTCATTCTCTTCAGGGTCAATCACAAAATAATGGTGGCATAGTCATCAGCATGGAATCACTAGAAGAACAAAAGATGTATATTCAAACAGGGGATTTACCCTATGTTGATGTTTCGGGTGGTGAATTATGGATAAATATCCTACATGAGACGGTGAAACAGGGATTAACGCCTAAGTCATGGACCGACTACCTTTATTTATCTGTCGGAGGAACCCTATCAAATGCTGGGATCAGTGGTCAAGCATTCAGATATGGACCTCAAATAAATAATGTCTATCAATTGGAAGTTGTCACAGGTTAGACTTTAAACTCAGTGTTGCTTTCGAACATATTCAAGGACTTAAATACTAGAATATCAAATAGCTAAGTTTAAACATCCTATTATTCAAGGACTTAAATACTAGGATTAACGCCTAAGTATAAGAATATAAGATTCATTAACATCATGCAATCTAATGGAGGATAAAAATAGCATGTGCATGTTAGGAGATTATTATATATATATATATATATATTTATTTTTTATTTTTATGGGTGCAGGAAAGGGAGATATAGTGAATTGTTCTGAGAAAGAGAACGCCGATCTCTTTTATGGTGTTCTTGGGGGACTAGGACAGCTTGGTATCATCACTAAGGCTAGAATATCACTTGAACCGGCTCCCAAATTGGTAAGCATCCTATAACTTATCCGATTCATCATTCTATTGAGAATTGTCTCAGTACTAATCTTATACTCCCACAGGTAAAATGGATTAGAGTGTTGTACTCGAATTTCAAGTTATTCACCAAGGATCAAGAGCAACTAATATCGTTAAATAATACATTTGATTATATTCAAGGATTCGTCATGACAGGTTTGAGTTCAAACTTTAGTCGTAAAAATCCTCTGCAGGCTGGTCCTCCTTCAAGATCTGAAGGCAAAATTCTCTACTGTCTAGAAGTAGCGAAGTACTTCAATCCTGAGGATACGAACACAACAAACCAGGTTAGAATTTCCAAAAGCAACTCATTTCATATGATGATACGTATGCTAAAATTCATTTAAACTGAATCTGTTTTGTTTAAAATGCAGTTTACAGAAAATATACTGTCATCATTAAACTACATCCCACACACAATTTTTCAAACAGATGTACCATATGTGGATTTCCTCGACCGAGTTCACCTATCAGATTTAAAACTCAAAGAGAAAGATTTAGCTAATGTAACACAACCTTGGTTGATTGTTCTTGTTCCCAAGAGTAGCATACAGAGCTTTGCAAAAGAAGTTTTTGGTAATATCCTCGCCAACACAAGTTATAATCCAATCCTTATCTATCCATTCAACCAATCAAGGTATTTACTATCTAATTTTTTCATCCCTAAAATCCCATCTCAAACAAAAGAACTAAAGTAAATGTACGTATTATACATAACAGTTGGAAGCACAACACATCTATGGTAACACCAGCCGAAGATATTATCTACCTAGCAGCATTTCTAACATCTGCACCCTCATCTTCTTCGGGACCAGATGGACTTGATAATATTTTAACAATCAATAAAAGAATATTAGATTTCTGTGAGACGGCCAAGCTGGGGGTAAAGCAATATCTTCCGTTTTATGAAACTCAGGGTGAATGGCGAGCTCATTTTGGAGACAGATGGGAAGTTTTTGCACAGAGGAAATCAACCTTCGACCCTCTATCAATTCTCGCACCAGGGCAAAGAATCTTCAGCAGAGGACCAGTTATGTCATGATATTGGTTGCCATACCCATCATCTTTAGAGCTTGATTCAACGACAAGTCAACAACCTAATATCTACAACCTACAGGTTCATGGAGTACAACCTTCATTGATGTGCACTCCTGAAACTTTTTTTTTTTTAATCAAGAAATCCAATTATTTTTGTATGAAATTATAGATAAGTCGAAGGGCATTCATTTGCATGAATTGCATCATATGCCAATGAAAACATAAGGTCAATCTTGAAAACCGAGAAAACTTCTGTTTTTCAATATATGGCAATGGTAACCAAATGATGTATGTTGATATTCACCAACAAAAAATGGCACAACAATTTTCCTTTTTACAGTCAAAGTTAAAAAAAAGAAGCATATAACTATGAAAGATTAGACACACTAAATGTGTTACTGTCGTAACATTCCATGAAATATTAGACACAATAAATATGTTAGTCAAACATTTTAACAAGTTATATATTAGCTCTATGAAGGTAACAAACATAATTAGCACATACTAGTATAAAAAATAAATAAATGTATATTAAAAAAATCACTACAGTAGTACGTATTTTTATATTTTAAAAAAAATCACAACCCGGTACATATAATACCCAATCCGTTTTTAACCCAGGAGCCTAATATCCAAACTGTTTAACTAGACACAATATTGGAATTGACATTGCAACCTGGATTTCTTTATTGCGTAACTTCATTTAACAATTGGTAGTACAAAGAAGGATGGGAGTGACAACCTAGCGAAGAGGAAAAAAATATTTAAATACATACTGATGATGACTGATGAGTAACCTATGCTGTACATAAAATGCTGGCAATTGCGAAAATTTTAAGTACAAGATATCAAGGCCATAAGTAAACTTATGAGCAGAATCTAGGTAATGATCTGGGATTCATATTGTTGGATGATTTTGATCTCATCATCTTCGCTACCTGAGTTTGCATTTTCTGACACACTTTCTCCAATTCTGTCACCCTGCATTGCATTCCTTGTAAATGTGCTCTGATATTTTCGTTCTCTGTCATAACATCGAATTTTCCTGCATACAGCACAATCTGTTGACTTGAATCATCCTTTCGGCTTCTGGCTCCACCTCCAATACCAGGGGAAGAGGAGCATGATTTTGGGTAGTTTGCATCATGGAGCAAGCTTTCGAGCTTTGTTTGCTGAGAAATGAGAGCTTGCACTGTAGAACTTGATGGAAATTTTGCGTTCTTTGAGAGGTGAACACAGGCTTCTGCTGAGAGCTTCTCATAGTTCAAGGCAGAACAAATGTTGAATGTTTCTTCTTCTGTTAAATCAGTATGTACCTACACAACAACAAATTTCTTGTCCAGTTATTTCAAGATGAGAAGAAACTGCCATAACAAGCTAACTGTACAATACGAAGTATAAATTTGTAGATAATAACATAACAAAGAATCAAATGCAAAATACCTCTAAGTACATATCCATGGCATGGTACATTTCATCATAAGAGTCTCTTGATGAGTCTGGTAATGCAGTTGCAAGTGCAATGAATTTGGAAGGTCTTAAACATGGATCTGGGGCTACTTCTGCCAAATACGAATCTAACAAGTGGGCTACTCTGACGATTCTATCATTTGAAACCTTAGGCAGACCGCCACCAAGGAATGATTTCAGTAACCTCAAAACAAGGTTCACATCATATAAATAGTTCATTCCTTGTGGAGAAGGAACGAGGAGGTTATCCAATGTTGCTTCATCCATTCTCAAGCCAATTATACCTTCTAATCTACTTCTGGTGCATTTACTTACATTCAGGTTTAGCAAAATTCTTAAAAGCCCCATCAAATTCTTGAAAGGAACAGACCAATGATCAAGTGAACATAAATTGTTGACGACCATCTCAATGATTCTACATTTCTCATCAGATTGGGCAGAAATAAAATTTAATTTCTGGTAATGGAGGAGGAACCTACCTATTGTCCCATGATCAAGCTTCCGAGAAACCATAGATTTGACAGCCAGTTCAATCATATTCTGATTTAGTACTGATAGATCTTCAAACCACCAATTTGCTCGAGAGCAGCTTGTTTTCAAACTCTCAGTACTCCGAGAATCACATGAAATCCGAAAACCAAAGCTCTCAGGTGAAGAAGTAGATGGACATGGGCTTGTTTCAGCAGCCACTGCCAACCTTCCTACAAGAGTATCCAAACATTTCTGAACTACACCAGCAGTTTTGACATCTTCAGGCAAATTTTGGTTTTGCTTTAAAGCCAACAAAAGATCTGGCCAAGTCCAGTAGCTTATCTCTTCAAGTGCTTTTTCAGTGAGCTCAATTAGATTCTCTGTCCCAGACACAGATCTGCTCATTTCCATGAAGTAAGCCGCAGAATGAAGGAAGCTTAAATTAGTCGGACTTATCTCAATGCTGCCATTATTGTAGCAAAACCTTGCAACCAGCTCGAATGTCTCAGCTCCTCCAGGGAAGTCATGAAATATTACCTTGAAATTACTCCCAGTACTTGCAGATTTACCAAATAAATGGCTTAATCTACCTGAGTAGGAAGATATACGTTTCTGCAACGCCAAAGTATTGATGAAATGTGATTAACAAACTTTTAAAATCGGAAAACTACTTGCAACAAGAAAAGATTGATGAGAAACTAGATTTACAACCACTTAAATGCATTTCAAGAAATAAAGTCATATTTCTCTACTAGGGGGGTTAAAGGAGACTGCATAAGACTGCTGAACAGTCGTTATACCCTCATAAACCTTGTGATTACTAAAAAAGGCACTTAGGCACATACCTAAGCTATTCATATTCCTTATCTTACCTCAACTCCTTAAGTACCGTGTCAGATCTTCAACACTCTCACAACGTTATGGAAGAAACTCTCAATTCTAAAATAATGAAACCTTTTCACAAAATAACCGAGTCTAGCACTTGGACACAAACCCATGTCCGAGTAACATAATTCGAGGAAGCGTAGGGCCATAAGGGGGAGGCAAAATGAATGCTCTGAGCATAACCAATAGTCTCTTTCAAGAGCAGTAAAAGAAACAGACAAAGGCATGAACACTTATAACAGCTCCAACCAGAAAGAGGATATTATAGCAAAGCAGAACCCAAAGTCCAAAATCATAACCTCTTTTACTTTTGCTCATGGTATATGCGAAAACTACCGTACAGAAGAGGGAATAATACTGATGACAATTGGACCCCACCACACTGCAATTTTGGTTGCATATTAAATGATGGACAGCCTATACTCCATTTTTGACAGGGAAATGTATAGCAGCATCGAAATCTACTACTCACAATAGGGTATAACTTTTAAGCATAGTGTTGATAATTTGTGAATAATTTATAATTTCTTATCAATTGCTAAGTATAGATCACATATTGTCATATTGATATCAAAATCATGGAACATCTTTCGCATAATAGCCGAGTCGAACACTTGGATATGTTCCAATTCCATGTAACATTTTCGCACATATTGAGTTGTAAATTAAGCTAAAAATCTCAAACATTCCACAATTTTGAAGTGATTGTTTAATTAGAAGAGCAAATAAAAGAATTGAGAAATTGGCTCATATGAACAAGACTATAAAAACATATGAATCAAATATAAAGCGAATCTATAATTCAAGTACAGAAATTATGAATTTAACCCAAAAAGTTAGCAAAAAAGCAAGTCAATGAGCAAAAGAAGGTTTACCTTATCTACCATGAAAACAGCTTCACCATTGACATCAATTTCAAGATCACCAAAACTATCCATTACCCAGATACAGAAATCCAAAACCCACTTCAAATCACTGAAAATTCTTATTTATAATCAAGAATTAATCATACCCAGATGAAAAAATAGATGCAAATATGGAAAAAGTTAGCAAAGTTACAGGACAAAATTTAGCAGGGGATGACAATAAGATAAGCACATGGAAGGTGGGGTTGTTAAATTGGCTAAGTATTAACTGTAATTCAGAAGACAAAATCAGAGAAGTAAGTAATAAAAATGGCAACAAAAAATGGGGAGATTTAGTTGTTAAATAATTGAAAAGAAGAGGAAGAAAGGATTTTGGAGAGGGAGTTGTTGTGGTGGTTGTGTGCCCACTACTCTACTGTCTGACATTCCTGCAACAAAACTTTGTTTTTGGGTTTAAATTTACTTTATTTTAAGTTTTTAACACTATTTTCGTGATCCAAGCCTATCAAATCATGTGGATCGCTGGTTTCCTTTTTTGACACAAAATCTTGACCGTCTATAAAAATGTGATTTTAAAAAAAAAAACAGATTTTTCACCAAATACCACTGAGTTATTGCAAAATTCATCATATACTGCACAAAATTTTCTATTTCACCATATAACAATGTGTTAATGTACATTAACACAAAATGCCATATTTTCTAACTACCGTCAATGTGCCGTTAGGGGTAAATTACTAATATGCCCTTACACATTTATGGCGCCATTGTTAGGGTTGACTCTCCCAAACACAATGTTTTCACTTCAAAAATTTGACCCCCCAATTCTCTTTTCCATTGAAGCTACTCTCTGTTTGTCTCCATTGATCTTCAACCCTAAAAATCCGATCAAAAAATAGCAAACTGTCGAAGGTTTAAAGTGGATTGCAACTAGGAAAGCAAATTGGGACTTACGATTGAACAAAGAAGCAGTTTGACGAGGTTTCAGAGACAGCGTGGTGTTTGTGACTGAATTTCGCAAAAAGTTCGCACCTTGGGTGGATTAAGCATACGCAAGGTATTACTATCCTTATCGATTTGCATTTCGAGTTCTGATTTTGTTGTTGTTTTGCGAAATTGAGTTAGGGTTAGGGTTTTGTGGAAAATGATCATTTGTGTCAATTTGGTTGCTATTAAATTCGAATGTGAATTATATGAAAGTTAAGTTTGATGTGTTGTATGCGAATTTGAATTATGTTAAAGTGAAGTTTGATGTGTTATGCGAATTGTTGTTTGGATTGTGATGTAATAAGTTGTTGCTAAATGTTGTTGTTTATCATCCATTGTTAGGATGAGTGGATTGTGGTTGTTAGTTAGATCTCCAAGTGGTTCTTTTGATGTGAGGGTGGATGACACTGATAAGACGAATTTGATGGAGTTGTTTGAATATATGTTTGAGGATTCAGTGAAGCAGAATGTTTACCTCCCTAAATACTTCACCATTTTTGTGAGTAAACCTAGAACTAATCGTAAGTTAGAGTTAGTTTATGATGGGGCAATGTTGAAAATGTGGGAGTGGAATGAAGGGAAGAGTGAAATAGAACTGTTCATAGAAGAGACAGAAACACCATCTCTTGTGTTTTAGTCTGCAGAAGCTAGTTGGGCAAAAACTTTGAAGAACAGGGCTGAAAAAATTAAGCAAATTGAGGAAGAGAGTAGGAGAAAAGCAGAGGAAGCAGAAGCTGAGGAGGAGCTTTTGGCCAAGCAGCCATTTACTGTGGCTATAGAGGTCCCTGTTGTGGATGCAGATGATGATGGGATTGACTACGTAAGGGTGTTTGCTACCCCAGCAGCTGATGAGGTACTTCCAGGGGATTTCACAACCTCAAACCTCACAAACAAGACATCCCACACCTTCACCACCAAAGGAACCCACTAGAAGAAAAAAAAAACTACCTCCAAAGAAGGAAAAAAACCCCCCCAAACAGTCCTTTCAACCAAGACAGCCCACACCTCCACCACCAAATGTTTCCCAATAGCATCCTTCCCCACCACAAACACCAACACACCAACCCAGGCAGCCTACACCACCTCCCCCACCACCACCACAACCAACATTTAGAGCACCAAGGCAACCAACCCAGACTAAAGAACAAACCAGACTCAAACCCAAAGAGTGGAGGGTGCCTAGAAGCACAGCAGTTAAGTATGGTCATGTGGTTGGGAAAAAAAATGCAGCAGGGAGGCAAGTGAACACTAGGAGCAAAAAACCTATGCCTGTTGAGGATAGTGATGTTGAGTCTGATGCTTGGCCTTCTGATGATAGTGAAGATGATGATTATGAAGCTTCTGATGTTGAGGCTGATTTTGATATGGACTTGGACATTGAGGATGAGTACATTGTGAGAGAACAAGATCTAGCTGATAATATCCCTGAGAAGACCTTTGAGGATTACTTAGATGGGTCCCATGTGTTAGACAAAATGTACAAAAATGGTAAAGTATGGTCTCACTTACCATTTGGGTCCATTGAACTTGAACCATGGTTGATTTTTGAAACCAAAACACAGTTTCTTGAGGTTTTCAGAGATTACTGCATACAAGAAGGGTTCTCTGTTTCAGTGGACTATGCTGATAATCAAAGGTACATAGCAAGGTGTTTGATCAGGGATTGCAGTTAGAGGATTCATGCAGCAGTTCTGAGAGATAAAGTCAGTTGGGCTATAAAGAAGCTAGAAGGGGAACATGCAACTTGTGAGAGGCTGTTAGCATGGCTTTGCAGACACTTGTTACAAGACTTGGAGGCAAACCCAGATATTCCAGTTGATTCATTGTAGAGGGTGTGCATGGAAAGGTATAGGATCCATGTCAAGTTGAGGTTGTTATACAAAGTGAGGAGTTTAGGCAGGGAGCAATTGCATGGTGGTTTTGCTCAGTCCTATGCAGTTCTGCCAAAGTATGCAGAGATGATAAAGGTCACAAATCCTAGGTCATATGCTCTTGTTACATGGACTGCTGATGGGGATCAGAGTTTCAAATTCAAGGCCTGTTTCATATCTTTTGCAGCTCAAGTGAAAGGATTCTTAGGGGGTTGCAGACCTATCATAGGAATAGATGGTGCACATCTAAGTGGATATTACAAAGGGGTTATGCTAACTGCAGTATCAATTGATGAGAATAATGAGATTTTTGTGTTAGCCTATGGGATTGTTGACACAGAGAGCATAGAATCCTGGACTTATTTCTTCAGAAACTTAAGGTGCTTATTTGCCCAGTATGGATCTAAGAAGGATGACTGGACTTTCATAAGTGACAGGATGAGGGTAAGTTGCTCCTTTTCTTAAGCTTTTGTTGTTAATGCTCATTTTCTAACTTTGTCCTGTTTTTTGAAAGGGGGTTGAATCAACTTTGTTTGAGGTGTTTATTTAGGGTAAAAAACCCCTAGACACGTGGCCCTATAAAGGCTTGCCACGTGTCAAGCTTGCAACGGTAAGCAAGGGCCCAATCCCTTTGCGACACGTGTCATTGTACCCTAATTGAGGTACAGCTCTCCCCTACTATAAATAGTAGGGGCAGACCTCATTTATGGGGATCGACAATATTTCTAACAACCAACTAAACAAAAAACCCATTGCAAAACGCTCTCCAATCGAGAAGCATTTATTGCTCTTATTACCTCTTTTAAGAAAGATTCTAACTTAATCTTCGGAGGCGGAACTCCCAACCCCCAGCCGGAGTCTCCGTTATTTGTGCAGGTACGGGCGAAGGAAGGAGCATACTAGGAAATTGTAACTCTCCCGTAGGACACATAAAAAACCCCCAAACATCTGGCGCCGTCTGTGGGGAGAGTACTTTCTGGATGACTTCAGAACCTGTACTACCGGGTAAAGGTAGCTAACCTGCTGGTGAGGCTGAGGTCCACTCGAACCAAGATACAGCCGACAACTATGAGGTTGAGACATATACAGCCGCTGATGGTTCTTTAAGGACCAAGCATACCCGTTCCAAAGACAAAAGGGAACGGGCAGAACTGCAGTCGGGCCCTAGTCACCCCACCAGAGGTCCACTTAGGCTAACCCCTGCCTCAGAAGGAGTCATTCCTGTATCCAGAGATGAACTCATGAATATGATGATGAGTTTCAAAGGAGAAATCAAAGGTCTCCTAGATAAATCAGCCAGCCCCCGCAAGGGGCAGGCGGAAGAAAGACGTCTTGGGAAAAGACAGCTAAGGCGGTAAAAGATAAAGCACCTACTCCGCACCCAAAGCCAAAGGTTCCGGTTAGGTCCATTGATATCTCAAAAATTCGCATTCCCATGGAGAAGACCAGAAAACCCTTCCGGTACCTATAGCCGGATGGAACAAAGAAGGTGTACTCTGATGTTCGAACTCTTAACCAGGATAAAAAAATTCAGCAATGCTCCGAGTCGGCATCGACGTCAACCTTTCAAGACAGCTTCCATGTTACATCAGGGAGGCACTCGCGAACAAGTAAGGAGATTCGGTCGACCGAGGTTTCCGCTGGATCCGGCCCTCACATAATCCAACCGGCAGTGCATCGGTCACCATACATGCCCTTCGGATCTCCTTACTCACAGCCGGCCCTATTCGGGGGTCAGCAGCCACCTGTCCAGCCTATGGACTGGCAGCTCCGGCTGCTCAACCTTGGAGAACAGCCAACGACGTTCTCCAGGGAAATCACTGAGATGGCTCAGCCGTCAAAAA